GGGCCACGCCTTCCCCCAGAGCGTTATTGTTTGACAGCTCAAAATTATAAACTGAAACACAAAAAGAAAGAAGTGAGAGAATTAAACCACACCTATAGTTGTAATTGACCAATCAAAGATTGCTTACCAAATTCCTCTTGGAGGTCTTAATAAGTGGTCAGGGAATTTACATGTACTTTATAAACCTGTTTAAATGCTTCTTATTTTGGATTGTTGCTACTGTTTAGTATGAATGCCTGAATAGTCATTGTATAACCTATATGTACATGTAGGTTTATGTATATATTATTGGTGTCATTTACATTATTGTAGATGCTGAACAAGCCTCAGTTGACATTATCTGCTACTTTCAAGACGACTTCAACTGGAGGACTAACTAAACCACTCACCAGTCCACTGCTGCAATCACTAGCTACACCAACTAATGTAAGACATATACTGTACATAATGTTATTACTGTACACTGTATGGGTATAACTGTGTATGTACTTGTACTTGTATTAATTCTCTTTCCTAAGATTATGTTATTGATGCCTATAGCATACACTGTACATGCACACTGTATGGGTATAACTATAATACAATACTGTAGTCTTATTCTCTCTACCGAGATTATGTGATTAATGCCTATAGCAAATTAGCAACTATTAAAATGTTGTGATTGTACACGTGTATGTCATCATTTATAATGATTGGTCTTTTACTATTGTTGTTAAAATTACATTGTTTATTTTATTATAAAAATATAATTAATCATAATTATTATAAATTTTTTGTTTGTTTTTTTAGCAAAAGTCACTCTCACTCACGAACATGCCCAAGTTATGAACTCTTAATGTTTTCATTGAAATTATACAATTTAATGATATTACCAGCCACACCAATACAAGTACCAGAGGAACATAACACCTTATGGAACCCATCACTGGAGGGAGAGAGGAGTGAGGGAGAGACAGAGAGAGAGAGAGAGGGAGAGAGAGAGAGAGGGGGGGGGAGAGAGAGAGAGAGAATATTGATTTAATGTTACCACAACAAGGCAAGCAAGACATAATGTCTGTGTGTGCAAGGCACATGACAGTGTGTGTATACATTGTAACAGGAGCAGGCTAAGAGGGACTGCCCCTGGGAGAGCACCTCTCTTCTCTTTGTAGAGTACAATATTAGCAGTGCTATTTTTTATAGTATACACAGTATCTGAGGCCCATGATAGTTGTAATGTGTATAGGTGCATGTACATGATCCTTACTGTGTCTTGTGAGCCACTGAACCTCCCAGTAGCTGATATAAACTGATCAATGTATTATTGGACCACCTGTACACTCTGATGGAGTAATCCTTGGAACATGTTAGTACACGATAACTATCCTAAGAAGAAGAGTAGAGCAACTACTTAACCTTTTTTGTAACAAGTCTACATGTACATGTATGTCTTTAATTTTACATGTAAGCCTTTAATATCCATTCAATCTATGTTCATTTTATCATATTACTACTACTCACAGCATATATATCAGTGATGGTGTCTTTATGGTCAGTGAATGACTCTACAGTGTCTCCATTACTAGTATCAACTACTGATAGTGTAGCTCCACTGGTTGTCAGTATACGTCCATTCATTAACACTAACTGAGTCACCGGGCCAGCCACTGATGAGGAGAGCTTCATTGAACTATTGGGCATGTACATATGAGACACTTTATACACCTGTAGGAGGAGGAGGGGGAGAGAGAGGGAGAGGGTTACATATTGTATAGAGAAAACTAACAGAAAAGGAGAAGCATACAATAACATTTGTGGTTGAGGCAGTGTGTGTATTTTAACATCAAATTAATGTCTTAGCAAATTGTACATGTCAATATTTAATTCTTTTCTATTATAACTGATAATCATAAATTATGTCAAGTGATAAGAAAACATGATAAGGTTTTATAGGAATGAAAACCGGGCTAAATGTGTATCAATCTGTTAATCTCATCCTGGTTATTAACAGTCAAATTAATGTCACATTAAAATTTGATTTCTTTCTAGCTACATGTACATGTATATAGAT